AACCACTGTCAAATTCACAACTTGCCATTCCACATACTGGTAGGCCATATCATCCAAATAGTTAGATTAGAAAACATTAGTTGTATAATCATTATCTCTTAAAATATTCATCAAGTGTATAAAAAGAGTTTAAATAAAGAAATTATTTCAAAGTGTTTTTAAACTTATTTATATCATTAGAAATTACTTTAATTTTATTAGGTAGTGCATTGTAAATCCTTACGGCCATGTGAATTACCCCATTACCATATTTCACCAAATTTACCTAGCTCATATGTATGTCCATATTATGTCTAGTGTTTATATCATAGCAATCCCTATTTGTACAAATATTTCTTTGTTTTTTACTACAAACATCAGAAGAGAGTATATATACTGTGTTCTTAAAGGGAATATATTCATATTCTTAAACAGTTCTGTGCATGATTCTCTGAAACCACATCCTATTATTATTCTTATAACTCTCTTTTGTATCTTAAAAACTCTTTCAGCTTGTGTTGAGTTACCCCAAAACATTATTCCATATGTCATAACAGAATGGAAGTATGAGTAATAAACACTTTTTAATGTTTTTACAGACACCACTGGTTTTACATTTCTTATCATATAACAAGATGTATTTAATTTCTTTATTATCTCCTCTGTATGTCTATCCCAAGTTATATCATTTTGGGTAGTCAGGCCAAGAAATTTTATGAAATGATCATATTGTAAAACATTAATTATTGCTTTCAGAGCAGTATGGATTCCAAAAGGGATTATCAACCTAAGATGCAATGTTTAAATTAACCAATGTAATACTTACAGCCTGGAACAGAAAAGAGTATGTAACTGGTATATTTAGTGACATAGCCAAGGCCTTTGACTATGTTAATCATTATCTTCTATTAATGAAACTGCAGTACTATGGAGTGCAGGTTGTATTATTGCAATGGTTTAAATCTTACCTCCAATATAGGAGGTAAAGAGTGGAATTAAATTATATAAATAATAAATATTCTAACTGGGAAATTGTTGGATGTGGTGTGCCTCAGGGATTGGTTTTGGCACCCTTACTCTTTAATATATACATAAACTATTTCCCCCTTGAAATAAGTAAAATCTCAGAAGTTGTTATGTTTGCAGATGACGCAAGTATTCTTTGCACAGCTAAAGACTGCTATAATTTAAAAGTAAAATTGGATGTTGTTTTACTCACATGTTTACATGGTTTCAAAATAATCAATTAGTGTTAAATCTGGATAAAACAAAAATGATAAAATTCACCCCAACAGCAGCTACGAGCTACCCTCTATATACGTTGTTTTTTAACAAAGAGCTGAAAGAAGTAGAAACGATAAAATTTCTTGGTTTGCAGCTGGACAGTCATCTGACTTGTAAGGGACATCAATTTTTTGCTTCACAGGTTGAGCACAGTTGGTTTTGTAATGCGAAAATTATCCTATACTCGTATATTAAATATAAATAGTCTTAAAGCTGTATATTATGCATATTATCATTCATTGGTGAAATATGGAATAATATATTGGGGATATACATCAGACAGTCATAAGGTCTTTGGTATGCAAAAGAAAATAATAAGAATAATGATGGGAGTGGGCCCAACTCATACATGTAGAGATTTATTTAAAAAGCTTGACATATTGCCAATCCCATGTGTATATTTGCTCTCACTGATGACATTTGTTGTTAATAATTTGGATAAGTTTCAGACCAATAACTCTGTATATGTGATTGGTACCAGAAGGAATGACCACCTTCATATACCTTCAACACATTTATCATCCAATCAGAGAGGGTTGTATTATTCAGACGTCAAGTTATTTAACACTCTGCCGTCAAATATCACAGTTTTAAAAAGTGATAAAAAGCAATTTAGGTTTGTTTCACGAAATTATTTGAAAAGTAACACATTTTACTCTATTGAATTTGTTGAGCTTGCAAGGGGCTCAAAAGCTAAGAGTTAATAAATGGTCTGTGTGTGTGAATTATACATTGTTGAGACTTGCTAGTTGTAAGTGTAGTAATATGTATGATGTCTGTTTTTGTTATGAATTTTAATATTTTATAATGTAACTGGATGATATGGCTTGCCAGCCTGTGTGGAATGGCAAGGCGTGAATTTGACAGTGGTTTTTTCACGACCTATGTGTGTTGTCCTGACAACTTGAGCTATCTTTGAGAGGCCTGATTATATATTTTATTGGACCAAGGATGAATGATGTGTAGTCATTATGAATTTGTAGTATGTGACATGTTTTATATCCAGCCCCACGGGGAGATGATTGGATCCATGAAGTGAAAAATAAATGGAAATGAGATTTTTTTTTTTTTTTTTTTTTTTTTTTTTTTTTTTTTTTTTTTTGTTCTTCAGCTTAACCTCTCAAAATTAGAATGTGTATTACTTTCAGGAGTACATTTTGTTCAAGGGAATAAGGTACTTTTCTGTAATGGACGTTAAAAAAAGCATGACTCTCATTCAGACTTGATGTGTGAGTGTGTGTCTATGTCTCTGTGGTGTTACAGGTGAACAGAATTGTAGCACAAAGAGTGAAGAATCTCCAGTTGCACGCATGCAGCATGAAAACAAATTATTAGTGGCACGTTATTCATCCAGGCTTCAGGCTGCCTCAACAGCCATTCAGCGTCAGAATTTACAGTTAGAACTTGAGCGTCGCCTCACAGAAAATGCTGCCATTGCTAGACAGAGACAGGAAGTGTGGGAACAGCGTCGAAGTGAAGTTGCTGCTCATTGTCATAAAATTGCAGAGATGTAAGCTTTTATGTTCAGGTTACGTAATTAGTATTATCTTCATCAGATACAGTGTTCAGTCTGTTTTGACTTTTAAATTAATTCTACAGGCAGTTAAATTGCTGCAGTCTGGGTATTTTGCCTGTGATGATTTTTTGCGTTCATATTTTTTAACATCTTGAAATATCAAATTTTTAAGGCTGATTTGAGTGATTTAAGAGTTATTCAGCTTTGTACAGCCTTTGCACATGAACCGAGATAATGCAGATATAGAAACAGAGAAAATATTTCAAAATCATTTGCAAAATAACCAAGAAGGATATTTGTTGAAGATTTTCAGTGTCAGCAAAATGTTTTTGAGAGAGAATGCCACCTCAAACGTTTATTCAAGGGCTGAAAAGAAAGCACCGGACTTAAGGAATCAAATGATATCTTCTTGGTGGTAATCCTAAGGGTGACATGAAGTTGAAACCACTACTGGTTTACCAAGGGGCCACATGGTAGTGTAGTTGGTTGAGGCACTATGTCACAAATCGGAAGGTCATGGGTTTGAGTCCCAATTAGGTGGATTTTTTCAATTGACCTAATCCTTCTAGTTGCACTATGGCCCTAGCGTTGACTCAGCCTCTGACAGAAATGAGTACTAGGAATCTTCCTGGGGGGTAAAGGGCGGCCAACACATAAGGCCAACAACCTTACCACCATCTGTGAGCCGGTTATCTAGAAAATATGGGAGCCTTGACATCCCAGAACCCTATAGGCTTTCATGGACTGTTACAGGGATAGCTTTACCTTACCTTTACTGGTTTACCACTGTCAAAATAATGGAACATTTAAAGGCCTGCATAAAACTGCATTACCTGTAATTCTATAATCTGTTCAGGCATGGGTAATAGTGGCAATGTTTGTTGACCATATGACAGGTTACCTTTCTCTCTTCATTGCATCCTATTGTACCAGACATAACCATAACAGCAAACCACTTCTATTACTTGATAATGCTCCTAGCCATCCTATCAGTGTTGAAGACCATGCAGATAATATTCAAGTTGCTTTTCTGTCTCTGATCACCACTCTCATCCTGCAACTTGTGGACTTGGGAGTTACGGACACTTTCAGGGCCTATTACCTACAGCTCAAATACGTATTATCAGATCTGATTGTGAAAAGAAGCCAACCATTAAGCATCCGTGGAAGAACTACAATATAAAAGTGATTATTGATAACACTGGCACAGCCTGGTACAAAGAGACTTGAAGAACATGAGTGACATTAGGAAGGTTTTACTATCAAAATATGTGTGTGTTTTCAGGGGTTTTGATGACAGAGTTGAAGGAATTCAGTATAAAATTGTGAACGTGTAGCTTGGACAAAAATTTGAAGAGGTGAAGTAGGGTGACATTCAGGAAGTGTTGGCTTCACATTCTGAAAAAGAACTTATGAACAGAAATCTCATTCAGCTTGAAAAGTAATAGCACATGGAAAATGGTGATGATGTCGGTGGTGGTGGTGAAGCAATGAGAATACTAGATAAGATAATTTGTTCTGTAGAACTTGTCAAAAATTGTAGAAGACAGTGACTCATAAATGGAATGAATATCTGCTTTCAGGCACAGGGCGAACAATGCCATTGTCTGTTTTCTAGGAGCTATATAAGACGAGGGAAGGCTTCGTCTATAATTGAGCTTTGTCTCGTTTTTTTCATTTAAAACAATCAAATGAGACTTGACTCTTCACTGTAGCTCAGCTGAATTCTACTTCAGTGTGTTGCCTTCAGACAGACTTTAAAGACTTTAAATTTTTGGTTTATATATTGGAAATGTTTGTGTTTTCTTTGAATTTTATGTTTTTTCAGCATTCTATCAATGCAATAGTGTCATAATGTTCACGTGGTGTGTTCAAAAAGTATCGAGCCTTCTTTTTTCCCACGTAAACCATTGAAGCGTGGGAGGGTCCCTTCGGTGGAGATGTGGAGGGGACATTCATGCGCAGTCATGAATTCTTTCCAGCCCGCAGAAAGTGTCAGTTGCTGGCAGTCGGCCTATGAGTGAGGACGTGTAGTGAGCGCTCGTTGGATTCCAGTAAGGTGTAAAATGACGGAACAACATAGGCAGCGATATTGCATCAAATTTTGCCAGAAGCTTGGCAGTACCAATGTGGAGAAAATTCACAAGATTCAGCAGGCTTTCGGGGACGATGCCATGAGCAACTCATGGATAAAGGAGTGATACAACCGCTTCAAAGATGGCCACACATCAGTGGACAGCGAACCACGTTCAGGCAGACCCTCAACCAGTCGAAATGAGAATGTCATTGAGCAAGTGCGGTCTTTGGTCATGGAGGACCGTCATATCACAGTCCAAGAGCTTGCGAACGAGATAGGGGAAAGCATTGGATCGGTAATTCAATTTTGACCGAGGATTTGGGCATGAGGAGAGTGTCCGCGAAATTCGTACTGAAACTGCGCATCTGATTCAGACTTTCGTCGCCAAACACAACATCCCTGTGGTTCGTCAGGCTCTCTACTCCCCTGACATGGCTCCGTGTGACTTTTGGCTATTTCCCAAGCTGAAAATGCCGCTGAAAGGAACCTGATTTGAGTCAAGAGAAGACATCAATGCAGAATGCGATGGCCCGGCTGATCACCATTCCAAAAGATGCTTTCCAGAAGTGTTTTCAACAATGGCGAAGCAGTGGGAGAAGTGTGTGCATTATCAAGGAGACTGCTTTGAAGGGGATTAGGGTTTTGTACCTCCAAATCAATAAATGTATTTCTGCCGACCAAAGGTTTGATACTTTTTGAACACACTGTGTACATAATTTTGTTCTTAACTAGTGTATGGTAGTACAGGTATAGTGGTTAGTTACAGTGTAACTACCATAAAGTAAACAGGAATGTTAATACTTTGACACTTATATAGTATGTTAGGGTGAAAAGTTACATTAAATAATTTTGATCTCTGGAATGTATCATAATGCATGTAAATTCATGTGAACTTCATTCTCACTCTGCAGTTTATGAGCTCATTTTTTGGAACAAATTGAGCTTGTGTAGCAAGGCATGAGTGTACCTATTTTGTCGAGCTCCCTCTAATTGTATGATAGTTCATGATTAGGAAATTCAATTTTACATTACTTAATCAGCGATCTTTGCATAATGCTGCAGATATATTCCAGAGATCTCCCCATGATCTTTAGTGTGTACTTTGACCTCAACACCCTTCCTCTCTCACAGACACATTGTGAGTGCGTTCCAAATTCCTTGATCCCAGCATGTTTGAGTCACTCTTTTAATTACATTCCTCACATTCAGTGCCTACATCTTTCATCCATTTTCCTATCTGGGTTATGTTCATAAATTGCAGTCCAGTAATCATGACAAAATTAAAATTGTAGGAAGTTTAGGAATTCATGGGATGGGACTTAATTGTTTCAGGTTTCTGTATCCTAATACCGTTCATACGAGTATAACATAATTGATATGTTTTTAAACATATTATCTTCATAACTAAGCAGAATATGATGTTGAGAGAATAGCATGAGGATTGTCAAAAGTAGGAAAATCTTTTAACATGGTTGTTGAGCAGCAAAATTCCAAGAGTTACATATGATATATAATCTAAAGGGATTGAGGATGGTTTGTCACCCAGAGAAGAAGTGGCATAATGATGGAATGGGTTGAATATACAAAACCATTAAGATGAAGGTAAAAGAAAGCAGTTTCCAAGTGTTGACAACATTTGAGTATGGCAGATCTAGCAAAATTCACTTTGCTGGTTCAGCCAATTTTCCAACATAAAAACATACCAGCCACTTAATATTGAAGTGTTTGTGAATGATGGATTCTTTCTTTATTGCAGAAAATTTCAAATCAATGAAAAAATTGAGAATGGGACCATCACAGAAACAGATTTCAAAAAGCAGAGAGTGTATGCTGCTGCATTGCAGTATGAGGAAGAAAATTTGTGGCTGAAGAAATCAAAACAGGATCAACTGCTTCAACCAGAAGATGAAAAACTGCAGAGGTAAGCAATAAAATTGATTCTGTTGCGCAGTAGTTCATTTTAGTTCTGTGGTAGCATGGAATCTGACTTGTATTATCATCATCATCATCAGTAATCTGTCAAGACGACAGGTCCACAGTCTCTTTCAAAACAATTCCTCCACTTAATGCGATCTAGAGCTTTCTCCTTCAAATGACAGTATCCTCTTCTGTCCCCAAGGTCATCCAGCATCTTCTTACGTCTTCTTCCTCGTCTTCTTGTCACTTCTATCCGCCCATCTATCTTTCCTTCGATAGCTTCTTTTAGAAGGCAGTTTCTGCGTAAAACATGACCAATCCAATTAGCCTTCCGTTTTCTTATTTCATGTAGGATATTCCTCTGCTCACTGACTCTAATTAACACTTCTTCATTTCTCATTGTATTATTGTACATAATTGTACATTGTATTGTATTATATAGTACTTTAAAATACATAACTTTTCCTCCCCATCTCTCTGTATTTATCATTATGTGTGCCACATTCAAATAATGTCTGCAATGTATTTTTTTCACTGTGATAACTGTATTTACTCTGTATTCCATGCTGACCCCTGAGAAGTAGTTCTCTTACAGCTTGATGCCGTAAGTCTGGCATTTGTGTCATTCTAGAAAGCATTTGCAGGAGACCTGTATTTTGAAATCAGCAAGTGCAACCCACACTTTTCTTTTCTTAATACTGATATCATACACTCTCCTCCCATTCAGTGCCAACTTGAGTTTGGGGGGTGTTGTTGAGCCACCCGGGAAGTTTTCATTGGAGGTCATGACATTCGTTGATACTGTAGAATAAGTACTTCAGAGTATGAATCTACAAATCATTTTGTAATGTCCATCACAAGAGATACCATTACAACAGAACAGACCTCTTACTGTTCCAGTCAGAAATGAGATGTCATACAAGGAGTGAAATGCTTCTGCTTTGGCAAGTAGCATTACATGTCCATTACATGATTGTAGGACATTTACATGTACATGTCCTACAATCACATCTTGCAATGAGGCAGAAAGGGGTCCATTGCATGAGTATAAAAATATTTAACAGTCTGCCTGATAATCTAACTGATTTAGTACACGGTAGAAAACAGTCTATAAAAGAAATAAGAAATATAATACATAATCCATCATGTACTGTTGATGAAATTTTGCTCTTCTGTTGGGATCAGCAGCTAAGGAAGAGAAGGGGAGTGCATGTTGACTGATGGATGTCCCACAGTAGGCATTAATATATACATTAAGTGTAAGTGTAAGTTAAGGAAGGAGAATTATTATGTATTGCTAATTATCTTGTCGGTATAATTGTATGTGTAACATTGTATCTATTTAATTGAGGTATTCAGTTTACATTTTAACTATGGTTGAACTGATGTCTCTGTGATTTTATCTGTGATTGTCTTGTGACTGTTGTTTGACAAGTTTTATATTCAGTGCCAGTTGCACACTTATGAACACTCTGAAATGCTGATGTATGTATATGTATATGTATTAACTAGAGAGTGGTGGAGGGTATGGAACAGGCAGGACAGGTTTTATAGTGTGGCAGCTGGCATGACCACACCCATTTTCCTTTTATTTTCTGTAATGCATTATAAATTACACCAGGATTTCCCAGTGTGTGCTTATGCAAATCCAGGAATGGAGTAAAGCGCTTTTACAGTTGAAGTTCTAAAAAAGAGTGCTATTATTAAGGCTGAATAATATTGTTTTTAAAATTATTGTGTTTCTGGACAATATCCATTAGCCTATTTTTTTTATTAAAAAACGTTTTCGAGACTGGATTCTGTCTCTGTTGTCAGGTAAAAGCCCACTCAGTCAGGCCCAATCAGTAGAGCTAGTCCCTATCTCCAGAAAACAACACCAGCACAAGATAGGATATATAAACCAATCACAACATAAACCATCTACAGACAAACAATAAAAACTTCATGCACATGAGGCCTAGCACCTATGTCCATGCACTGTTTCACAGCTGTTGTTAAAATCAGAGTACTATAAGAATAGAAATGATCACAAAAGAGAGAAATTCTCTCTATGCTATCAACCTAAAAAAAAAACAAATCTCACATATAATATACACATATAGTTTTCTGACTTCTGCTTTCTTGATAACAGTGGTGACAGTTTGGCTCTGTAACAAGGAATTTCTGAACCAGATGAATAACTATTAACACTTTGCGGACTGGCAATTTAAATATTTAAATCACCCTGGGGACTGGCATTTTTAAACCTACTACCCTAACTTGTGCACTGTTCACTTTAAAAATTAATATAAATTCTACTTAATTTTATGAACTAAAATTTTTGGAGAACACTTACCAATGCTAGAAGTGCTTGAGAGTGTGACATTTCTGGAAACATTCCCCTGTGTGAAGTGGCATTACACAGAACTTGCAATGTAGACAGTCATACTCATTTTTTTGTGAACTGTGCAAACACAGCACTGCCTAGAAGGTTGCTTCCCCCTGGAATGTTCACTCTTCACAATTTTCACAGGGCATATTTCCGCATTTCACCCGAGAATCGCCCAGGGGTGTCCACATGAGGACTGCATGGGGTAGGAGTTATGGGCCCGGTCGCACTAAGTCTGTGCCAGGCCTTTGCCACATTCATCAGAAATGCTTTGTATTTCAATTTCGAATCAGGGTTTAGATTTTTGTAAACCAAAAATGAATTGAAAATGGCACAATTTATAAGCCACAAGGAAACTTTCTTTGTGCACTTTATTAATTTCCTCGGAAGAGAATAATAGGCCAAGTACTGATCGGCTCTATCAACTCCCTTCATGAACATATTATACTCAGAAATACAAATAGGCTTCTTTACTTGTCCATGTCTCCTTTGAACTTCAACCATGCTTGAATTGTAAATTGTGGAAATCATATTCACAACACGAGTGTCCCTATCTCCAAAAAACAGTTCTGCTACTTCAGACACTTGTGTTGGGTCCGATGGAATTTGTTTCACCCCTGGATTTCCAGTAAACTGTCCCAAAGTAGGCGTTTTGTCTACTTTTCCCCATGTGGCTATCCCCGCAATTTTACTGCCTGCACTTCTACCTGCACTTTTGTGGAAGCTAATTTCACTTTTATTGTCTGTGGCCACAGTTGTTTGTTGTCCCTTGTCACTGCCACTGTCTAAATCACTATAACTACACTATCAGAGAACAAGTCAGATATTTCTTGTTCTCCAAGAGATCGTTTGGTTTTCAACCGCATCTGTCCTTGACTCATTGCACCACTAACTTCCTACCTGGTACATAAGAGCTTGAAGAATCAAAGATCATTTTCCTTTGGAGGGGGAACCCAAACAGCGAGATCAAGTTACTGCCTACTAAGCAAACATTCTGGAATAATATTATGCAGTAGTCATTTCATTTGGGTGGTGCCAGTACAAGGTATAGTGTGTTTCAACATAACATGTCCTAAAATCATAATAATGTGCCACCAGTCCACCACGTTTAAAAGTGCTGGGCGTAAAAATATGCCACCGGTCTGCAAAGTGTCAACTGATGGAAGAAGACCTTGTACCATGAAGTTTGTTTACATAAATGCAATTTTTCAGTATTGTATGGTATACTGTTTCCATTTTTAATTATAGGGCCATCATTAGCCAAATTCTTCTTGATCGTTCTCATCCTTTTGGATGTCTGCTGTGTCAGATGCAGTATGCTGTCTTAGACAAAGTGAATCCAATAATTACAAAACACCAGACATTGTTATTCCAAAGGCACAGTAATAAAGAAGGCAGCAATGACGTGTGCAGTGATACAAGGCGTCAGGTATTGTCTAGCATTGATCATGGTTTATGCAATCTCACGGTGGACAGCTCTGCTGACCGTGAAGCTATGCGGAAACATGATGTCAGTGAAGCGGCAGTAGCTCAAGAGGAGAGGCAAGCATTCCATAGACACTTTCAGAACATCGCTATTGGTAGGTTCCATCAGGCAGTGTGATTATGTTTATGTGTTTGTGTGTTTCTAGTTGAAGGATAACAATTTAACAGATATTTGAGAAGTAGGTTCTGAAGATGTGAAGTGTCTCAGTAAAATGTCTACTGGCAGGCTTAGGTGATTGATCTTCAGATTCCCTAATGTGGAATTTCTACAAGAGTTGAATGTCACTTGCTCAAGACAGACACTTTTCCATGGAATTTTTTATGCTGTGTTTACCAGCTGTAAAACAAGTGGCAGAGGTAACTTCATTGCTTATTTGGATGGAATTCTTGGTGGAAGAACCAGTTAAATGTCATTTTTCTTAAAGAGGGCTGTGAGTAATTTTATGTTCAAAGAGACTGCCCCTGTGGTCTAGTGGTCAAAGTTCTTGGCTACAGATCCAGAGATCCCAGGTTCGATTCCCGGCGCTACAAGATTTTCTGAGAAGTAGTGGGTCTGGAACGGGGTCCACTCAGCCTCGTAAGGATAATTGAGGAGATTCTTGATTGGAAAAGTAGAGGCTCCAGCCTAGAAAACTGAGATTAATGGCCATGGAAATCTGTTGCGCTGACTACATGGCACCCTCCATCCATAAATGTTGACACTAACTTCGCCAACAAGCGGTGGTCGCTTGGTCAGTGTAGTTCACTTGCGGACTAAAAGCCACGGAGTTTTTTATGTTCAAAAAATTTACTGATTAAAGAAAGGATCTTTGTAGCATTTCAGATAAGATAGAAGTGTTCATGAAGTAGGAGGGAAAAATAATGCATGTCATTACACATGATTATATTTGTTAACAGCTCATTAAGTGAAAATAAAAATTCAGATGTAAAATTGTAAGTGACATGTTTGAAAAATGCGTGTACTCTGAAACTAATATACCTTTCCACTCTTGTTATTTACTAGTATATTTTTTGTTTTGTTTTTCAGACATAAAACAAGACATTAAGCTTCTTGAGACTCTGCTGATTGATTTGGTTGAACCCCTTAACACAGAGAAAGGACGAGTAATTGTTATGGAAATGTTGCATCATATGTACTTTGCTCCCCTCAAATCATACTTAATTGTCCTTTTAAGGTCAGTATTGTAATTACAGAAGTATGCTATCCACTGCACTCATAATAATTATATTTAAAGCACCTAAGAAAATTTTTATATTTTTTCGTCATTAACACACTTAACTCTCATGACCGTTTACTTGTAAGTGTGAAATATACTGTGACATGTTGCGCAAAGCCAAGCCCCCCCCCACACCAGCAGTGACGCGGCGGGTGAGTCAGCGCTCCCCTCCCACCCCTCAGCGGTAACGTAACGCTCGCGTAATAGGCGAGTAATCACCCCGCATCCTGGTAGCTATGCACGGTGACGTCACGAGCGGAGCCGAAGATAGCCGAGCCCCGTAACCGGGTAACTATGCAAGGCGAATCAACAGCGGTGACGTAACCGGACAGCGTGGCTAGCAACAAGGGTGCCTATTACGTGGCCGTATTGTCCGATCGAGGCTACATAGGGAGCAGCGAAGGCTATTCTCAGTCAGTTGTACTGTAACAGTCGCCGAGTCGAGTTGTACTGAGTCAGTCAGTGAGTCCTGGAGCTACCGCCGAGTTAGCCAGCAACTAGTCAGTTGTATTCTGGCATTTGGAGTGTACTAATTGTGATACTGCAGATAGCAGTAATCGTAAATCTGTAATTTGGGTGATTGTATGAGCGAATGTGAAATAAAATTCGCTACACCGAATACATCGAGAATTTATTTGTCGCGATATACGCCCGATACGCGACAACTGGTGTCAGAAGTGGGATCAGTGTCAAAACACGTTACAATACATAGTCTTTCTTCTGTCACCAGCATGTCAGGTCATCCAGTGTGTTATTTATATTGTCGCATGTTGGGTAGGTCATGCGACAAATAACTTCACGCCGTATTGAATATAGCGAATTTTATTTCACCTTCGTGCCTTACAATCTCAACATTACTGCCATCGGCAATATCACAAATACTAGACTGCAAATACAATTGACTGGTTGACTTCCTGGCTAACTCGTGACTAACTCGTAACTTGAGAACTGGCTGTGAATAGTCTTTGCGGCTCCTTATTTAGCCTCGTTCCGGACAACACAGAAAACAGCCACGTAATAGGCACCACTGTTGTCTGGCGCCGTGTTTACAGGTGTTACTGGTAACACTGTTTGGAGTTGTTTATGGCTGCATAGCAACCACGGCAGCCCTTGGCCACGTAACCGCTGGTGGGGTAGGGGAAGGAGTGTTGACTTGCCTGCTACCCTAGTAACGACAGCGATCTGATGGTGTTATGTCACCACTGGTGGGGGGAGGGGTGTCCTGCATAGCGCAACACATCACAATATGTTATGTCAAAATGTTTGTAATCTTATGTGTCATGGTAAGTTTTACAGCACAATGTCTTCATAGTTGTTCCCTATTGCTATCAGACATTCCTTCTAGCAGCTGCTCCACTGCTAGAAGTGATCCTACAGGCCTTCTCATGGGCCCTTCTGACATGCAGCTGTCATATCCTCTTGTTCCTCTTATGATTTGAACTTGCATCCCATCAACAGGACTTTCATTCTTGGTAAGAGGTGGTAATAAACAGGGTCTAAAGCTGGAAAGTAAACAGAGAGTGATACCATTCTTGTCAGATACTCTTACCAAAATTTGTATCAGAAGAGTTCAGTCGGCTGTTATACTCGTATTGTCACGGTAGAACAACCGCTTTTCAGAATTCCAAAAGATGGTGATGATGAACTGTTTCTTGCCTGTTTGGTGTTGTATTCATCTGTAACAAATCCATGGTGAACTATACTGTGGCTGTTGAAGAACAGCTTCACCGTAATTTTTCCTTTTAGCAGTCTGCATAACACATCTGCTTTCTCAGTTATGAGTGTGACTTCCAGTGTATGTGATGTCTGGATTGTAGACCACATGAGATTTTAGGTTCTCACAACAGTATCTATGAAGATTACTGTCCCCAGTAGTATGTGACACATGTAGCCTGATAGATGTTTACTGATATTTCATGGCATGTGCTGCCTTTGTCTTCAGAGTAGGTACAGGCACCAAGTTCCTCTGAAATGTCAGTGAAATCTACTGGACTCTGCAGCTTGACATCCAAGAAACAGTAATCTTCTGTTAGAGCCATGATGATCCTGTTGAGAATATTTGACTAATGACTGTTGACTATATAGATTCTGTATCAGTTGGCACTCATATTCTTGTAAATGAGGGATTATTTTCATGCTGTTCCTGTGAGATCTTGTGGAACTAGCTGCTTACACACGTCATGCATATTAAAGTCATTACATAGAATGCCATGGAATGTGCTGCATGACACATTGGAAATTTCAGTGATTTTGTTGCTTGTTCATTTGGGGTCCTCTGTGATGGTCTCTTCATCATGGGCAAGTGGTTGAAAAAAAGTTCATTAACCTTTGGGCTTCAGCATGTAGAAGGTTCAGCTAATTATTGCAGGCTACATATCTTTCTCTGCATAATATATATTATTTATGTTCATGTTTATTTTGTTTGCAACTGACACTTTTTCTAGGTGCTAAAACTGTTCTCTTGTTTTTATGTCGTCCCCAGCAATGTGTTGTTATTGATAGCCTTCTCAGAAGAATGTATGGGAGGCTAAAATAATCTGTTTATGTTTCTTATGATGTCTTGGATTACTTTATCTAGTTCATTTTTTGGGAGTATACTCTAAATAAACACAACTTCATGTTGTGTTCAAATTGGGTGCATACTTATATGTCTGTATCCAAACTTAGACCTCTTTTAAGCATGTACTGCTAATCTCAGCATAACAGGTTGAACATTCCTGCCATCAACTTCTTGCTCATTGAATATATACTGGGTGTCTCAGTTATTTATAGATGTAGAGGTTTTCATGCATGTCCAAATTTCTCCCAATATGAATTTCTTCTACTGCCTTCAGATAGTCATCAGTTGTCCTGTAAATGTGGCTTTTGTACAGATATTATTAATGCACTTACATTTGTCCCTTCTGCATCTCACATCATAAATCATTGTGTGTCCCTCATAACTAAGTTTAATCTTAAATTTACTTCCTGTTTTTCGTTAAATATATTGTCACGTGTTGGGTATGTCACGCGACAAATAACTTCACGCCGTATTGAATCTAGCGAATTTATTCCACTCGCTCTTACAATTACACAATTTACAGTTTCACAAGTACTGCCATCGGTAGTATCACAATTACTTCCACTGATTCCATTCACTCCGGCGAATGCTAGACTGTAACTAACTTATGCTGCACTCGGCGACTTCATCATCCACACCGTGTCACTCCTGATCACACACACTCGTCACATACTGCTCAACCAGTTTTTTATACCGTTCCCTGTTTGCCTTGTGTTACCAGTGGTGTCCCCTGTTACGTCACCATGGGGGAGGGGGCCAGAGTGTTGACTGACCTGTTACCGTAGCAGCAATAGTTGCTCAGATGCTGTTACATCACCGCTGGAGGAGGGGTCCTGTATAGTGCAAATACATGATAATATTGTCACATGTATTAGTGATCATAGACGGAGTTTGGATTGGATGATTGGATTTATTGATAGCTTATACACACCACTCAGAACTACACATAATTACAGCGCTATTGTAGATCTCATTTTTATCACCATTTCTTCCACTTATTTTTCTACTTTTTTGCTCCTTTTCTTTTCCTTAATTTATTTTTTCTATTCATTTATTTCTATATTTCATCCTCTTCTCGTGTATTTCTCCATTAGATTTTGCTGTATAGTTTCCAATTTGAGGAAATATTTATCTATAGACTTATTACACATGAAGATGAACTTGAATTTGAGGCGGTGATGATGACACAAGATAACACTGAGATGGTACCAGTTGAGGAAGATATGAAGAGGCAAGTGTGTGCCATGTTACGACATCTAACACTGTTACACAGCCCATGCCAGATGCTTGATAGCCTCGTTGCAGTGGTTAAAGTGCTGGCTTCAACATCCAATGAAAACAACCACTGCAAGTCACTGTGAGTAACAGTTTGTGATCCATGTTATCAGTTTTATATATAGGACAAGAACCCCAAGTTTATTTTAGTATGTCTCTGGGGAAGGATATTATGAGTAGTTTTCTGAGCTTGTATCCTCGTGAACTCATATCATTGGACTTCAGCCTTTCAGTAGTGTTTATCTGTTGAGAAATGTTTGGTTTCCAGGTATTTAGATAAAGTGATTATTGCTCTGCTACATATTCTTCAGGTATGTGGCATTACTGTTATCCCCTGTTGTTGGATCCCTACCACTATTTTGTAATGACATGGCTGTCTGATATGAAGGACAGATGTAACACTTCTTCATTATGCTGTTTAATTTTACTGTCATAACTATCTTGGTATTATCAATTTTTGAATCCTAAAGCTATATTTTTTACCAGAAGCAGGTGTAATGCAAATGAATTGGTTTTTGAAGAGGGAACATATGTTCCTTTCACCCATTAAGCATATTTGCTTTTGAACTAACCAGTACAATGAAATTTGCATTCATCAGCATGAACTTCTCTATAACAATTATACAGAATGCGGTTATGTTGCTAATTAAGGGCCAAAAGGTGTTACCTTAGTCTGCCAGTTAAAATTGTACTTACTTAGTGTCAGAAAATTTCACTAGAAAACAGAAAATTTGTAACATAAATTATATAATAGTCATCTGCTGTCCAACCAAATTTTTTACTTATTTTAGGTAAACATGTTTGTTGTTCTTCCTGCAAACAGTGAATAATAATAAGCTTAGTCCTTAAGAAGATGTTGGTTTAGGAGGAAAGTGTTAGACATCCATGCAGAATGTCTTATATCTAAGACTGGCCTCTTGTAGCTCAGAATTTTCTTTACATCTTCCCCATCCTTTACCTCTCACATAATCATAGACTGAGAATTGTGGGAATTCCAGTTGAATACTGTGGTTTAGAGACCACTTTAAGGTGTAGACCATCTGTTAATCGCCAGTGTCACCTTATTTATCATTTAGAGAATCTTGTCCAACAGACATTCCACCCTGACAGGCAGAAAGAGACCAAGGAAGTCTAAAGCTCATGATTGAAAGCATGAAGAATATGAAAGAAGTAACAGGATTTTTCTCATACAGGGGTGCAGATGATCTTCTTCCAAGGTTGATGACTGTCATTGTTTCATATGGACTTCCCAGCCTATTTGCTGAGGCCATGTACATGGAGAACTTCATGCCAACGGATAGAGCATTGGGAGAGGCTGGTTATTCTTTAACAGTTCTTCAGAGTGTCTTGTCCTGCTTCCTGCCACATTCAGGTTGAATTGTTTTAGATTTGTGTAATATCTGTTCTACTGATTTTACAACTTCAGACATGCTTTGTCTTAATGGTTTGTTTCCCAACATAGAGGAAAGTATTGTATCTTGGGTCGGTTTTGTGTTATGATTTACTTTGTGAACAAGAGTGCTGGTGGAAAGTTCCGAACGCTCCACACTATTGCATGTGTTTTCTGGCAACTGGAGTATACTTATAATTTAATACTTCTTAAAGTATACTGGTAGTTGAATGCTGAAATATTAATTTTGAGGGGATCTGGTCATTACGGCGAGCATTATGAGGACCAAGACAGTGAAATCCAATAGCTGTAATTTATGTGATGTACGGAGAGACAATGTAATCATGACAGTCTCGTTTTCTTTTACCATATTGATGGGTGGGATGGTATGTAAGACTCCTCTAAAATTGAGAGAGCTTGGTCTTCCTTGCAAGGCTTTTTACATGAGATAAAATGTAGATAATGAACAAAGAGATTCTCAATTAATCACCCTGTTGGGTTTTGGACCTCCGATGGAAGCTGTAGAAGCATCAATCATCCATCATGTAATCCTTGAAATTCATTCTTGGAAATATAAATGTTGAAGGAGTAGGGTTACTAATGGCATTTAGAGCAGCAGTTGTACCATTCCCCTTTAGCCTGAAGTAACATGCCCCACTTGCTTCATTCCCCTAGCACCCATGTTATTAGGAGGAATATGAACAGTAGAGTTGCCAGTCATGATTAAATTATAGATTTTATTAGCAGAGAACTTGTGCCTTGACATAGACTCCTTTGAATCCCCCATCCAAAAAAAGAGAACTTTCATGCTTTCAAGATTAAAACTTGTCACAGAAGAAGGAGTATCAGCCTTGAATTTTCTGAAAGACAAGGACTTGTGACATTTCCTCAGTCCTCTCAGCAACATACTACATCACATTCCTTGTTTCCCCAGCTCCGATATATAAATACACCATATTGTATTCTTGCACCTGGTTTGAAATACTTGACCAGTGTGTTCCTGTGTGAAACCAAAAACTTGTTAATCTAATTTATGTCTTTGTATTCAAAAACAGTAAAATTTTGCTGTTCTTGGAACTTCGTCAAATGGAAATTTAATGTATGTTTTGAAATTCCAAAATCGTGTGCTGCTGTCTTTACTGTCTCTCTCAAATTGCATCTCGCATGACTTGTTTTGTGACTTACATTTACCTTGTCTTGTTCTGCCAGCCTTGCTTTATGTCACTCTCTTAGAAACAAAATAGATTTCTTGATACCAAACTTATTGAACATACTAATTAAATTTTAAATTTAAATAATGCAAGTGCGCTGTGTTGCAGCTTGGGACATGATCCAAGGTACAGCAGACCATGATGCCACAAGATAATATGAGAGATTATAACACAAAATTAATAGTTGTTTTAGGTTAATTGACAAACTACTTATAATTAAAACAAGATGTAAATTACCATCTAAGTATATATAGTTTATTCCTTGTACTGATTACATGTTGCTAAAACCCCTACATGTTTCAGTCATACAAGACCATCTTATAAATCAGTATAATGAGCTCTGTCTATAGTTATGATAGGTTAATTGAAAAAATACTTATATGAAATGAAACTGATCTTACCTATTCTTTACACTCTCAGGAAATAATACCATCTTAAACAGTAAATAACCTCATAGTAAACAAAGGTACAAACACACACTGTTCACAGTGGAAGAGTCATAAATGATGTAAAATTTAACATTTGTGTTCATAGATAGCAGAGCAGTGACTAATGACCCAGGGTACAGAGACCATGTCTGTTCCTAATTTCACTTCTTGTTAAATAGTATTTATGCAATATCTCATATTACAGGAAACTAGGACAATGCCATACTAATACTTTGTCTCCTGATTTTTTTGGGAGACATAAGAAATAGCTGCATAAAGTGGAATGCCCATTCAGTGTTCCTCAATTTAACATTTTTCTTCATTTGATGATCAGTTTCTGTGATCTCAGGTCAATAATCTCAGTGTTAAATTTCCTCCATTTAAGATTTTTCTCAATTTTATGTTCAAATGCTCTGCTCCATGGAAAAATCCCAGTTGGGGATTTGAGCATATGTGTAGATGTGCTTGGCTTGAGAACATGTATGTATAAAATTTTACCACTTGTGAAACACACCATGCACACAATACACATACGTACTCGTACGTTCCACAGATCAAAAATTTAATTTATCATATGACTTTAGGATATGGATTAAGGCATAAAATATGTAAAAGTGCAAAACGTGGTAAAAAGGTATGAATGATTGAATGAATGTATAAGGTGTGGGCCTTCTCAGCCCTTGCGCTGTGACCTACAGTGATCTGTTGTGCTTTTGGTAAAAAGTTACAGCTATTCCTGTAACAGGCTCTGAAGGCCCATTGGGTTGTGAGATGTCAAGGTTCCCACATTTTCTAGACAGTTGGCCCACAGATGGTGGTGAGGTTGTCAGCCTTATGCACTGGCCGCCCTTTACCCCCAGGTAGAGCCCCTGCTGTAAAGAAGACGAAGTTGTCCCTGTGTTTAACTAATTTAAGCACTATGTCATGAAGGCATATGGGGAGTGTATGTGTAGATTCACATTTTATTGACCTCAGCACTAGCTGGAGGTGAGTGGTCTGCTTCACACCCCTGCCGCTTTATCCTCGAGGAAAGAGGCCCCAGTACCCGTTGGATAGGAGGCTGGATGGTCCCCAGAGCCGGTCAGGACAATGTGGAGAAGAGAAAATTCTTGACCCTGCCAGGACTCAAACCCTGACCCCTTGGTTATCCAACCCATAGCCAATTGCTATACCAACTGCACTATTCCAGCTACTCACCCTTACAGTAGATTATATATAATTTCTAAACATATTCATCAGGAGAATAAAAGGATTTTGTATTTGAGTATCTTCCTAATCACACTTTAAATTGTGCCCTTTTGTTCTTAATGCTTATAGATTATAAGGCAAATTATTAACAACTTTGATACCAGCATAAAATACACTTCTCAGGATGGAAGTGAGGGTGTGTCGGCCAAAGAAGATGATTCTTTCTTCTTCTATTCACACTGTGTATCAGTTAATATGAAAACACTCCTGGTTACTCATGATAGAGGTTCACTAATGAAAGTGTATATTTACATGGAAGAGGTAAAATCTCTAATCTCTGAAATATTCTTTGACATAAAATATTAGATTTGGCAGCGGCCATAATTGTAATTATTTTCTTTTGTAAAGCAAATATCCTTTTTGCTATCAGTGTCAATACTACTAACATGAAACACATCAAATTGCATAATATTCTCAGCTTAGCTTGAGGAATCATCTGTTCATTATGTTTCTTCCAGTTTAGGAGGTTGTCAATATATAAATATTACAATTTTGTACCTAGTGTCTTTTCCATATATTTTCCATTATCTATATAAATGAAAACGTAAATGTTGGTTTGTGTCTAATGGAAGATCTCCGAAAGTTCTTCACCGATTGCTTTGAAATTTTGACACAACGTTGCATTTGAACACGTGCGTGCTTTCATATACCTATTATATAGATGTCACACCCGTGACAGGTAAAAACAGCTAAAAGTATTAATTGTATTCAATATAATATACTGTAACGTGTTATACGTCGTCCATCAAATACCAAGAATTCATTGCCTAGGAATAACTGTGGCAATGAACTGTTGAAACAGCGGATCGTTGCCTTGGAATAAACATGACAACGAACTGTTGAAACTGTTCGCTGCCTAGGAATAATCATCGCAACAAACTGTTGAAACAGCACATCGTTGCCTTGGAATAACTGTGGCAATGAACTGATGAAACTGCGGAAATAATGCATTTTTGCGGCAACGAGCACAGAACACGTGAAATGGAACCCTGGGCGAAAGTGCCCTCTATTGTGTCCGAAACCGGGTTATAATAGTCCAGCTCCGAAGAATTTTTCGGTGATACTGGACGCAATAATAATTGTACTCGCTGGTGTAAAAGTGAGCGTTCAATAACTTATTCGCTGAATCCGAGACGTGCGTGGAAGTTATTTCGTAAGTATAGTTTATTTTTCATTGTTTTTCTTTTCGTTTTCTAAGAGCAGACTTAGGTCGTCGTACTCGCGGAGCGGAAGCAATGCGTCGAGTAGTTTCAAATGAAACTGGGGAAGAATGGGCAGACTGAGCCACAGCAAGTCATGGCCGGGCACAGCTAGTACCTAATATTGTAGTAAATTGTTACAAATGTTGTTGCATTCGTTTTATCAAGATGTCTTAGCAGTAACCAATTACTTATGAGAGAAAATATTAAATTTACCATTGCATAAAATATCATTGGTCATGATAAAATATTTATTGTTTATGGTTGGTTATGTATATATTGTGGCATATAGACACATTGCTAGAGAATGACAGCGAAACAAACAACGAGACAACAGCCATTACTAGGCAACAGCTTCATAAATACACAACAATACTTAAGCAATGGTTAGGCAGAGGCCTGTGTGCAACAGTGGAAGTACTGTTGGAAGCAGTGTTATCTGTGTGGTCCTCTTTGAGGCTACATCACTTAACTGACTGAATTGAGTTCAATTAGTCCAGTGCAGTGAACTGGAGAGAGTTGATTGGTGAATAAATGAGTGAGTTAGAAGACTGCTGCGGTTCAGTCCTTGTGAGCCATTTTTGTTAGAAGCTGGTAGCTGAGGCACAGGGATAGTTCGGGAACCTAGAGCAAGGGGAACGTCCACCGTTGGAAGCCGTTACCAAGTAATGACTGGTGAAGACACAGCAGGCTGAGAAGACTTAGTACATGCTGTAGGAACTGCTGAGAGTGTAAATTAGCAATGGTGCTATAGTTACTTGTAGTTATGATCTGTATGTGGTGAGTAAATCGTATTACCAATCCAGACCGGTCTATAGTCACTCTGTTACATGACAGTATATTAAAAACGGCAATGGGGCAAGTATGACCATTGGGAGAATCACAGTTTTACTCATATCCAATTTGAGATGACTTTTGGAGTTACTGCAATTATTGACTTTTTGCACATGTCCATTGTCCTGTTTTTTTATTCAAAACAACGTTTCAAAGACTTAGCTCTGTCTCAAACCTCAGATAGAAGCCTGTTCAGTTGGGTCCAATCTATAGAGCTTGGCCCTATCTCTGTCCGTTGGACTCTACTGAGTAAGCTTTTACCTCAGGATGGAGACAAAGTTCAGTCTCTGAAATGTTTTTAAATAAAGAGCTGGATGATGGGTATTGTTCAGAAAGTCAATAATTATATTAATATACTATCATCACAAGCTTTTAGATACTATTTACCTTTTGAAGTGCATTAAATTATTTTGTTTACACTTTTTTTCTGCCAGTAATACAGGATCTGAACTAGTTTGCAGCTGCTCTAAGAATAGGATAGAAATAATAATTGATCTAACAAAATGTCATGTTTTACACAGTCAACAGCTGTAGTTAAATCAGGAAATGTCCCCCTAATGTTTATAGCTTGGTTAATGGCTTTAAATACATTGAATACAGGTTTTGAATAGACATCACTTTACTGATGCCAATTTTTTGGGAATTAATCTATTGTTAGTATGTGTGTATTGACTTAGCCTTCTATACACGACCTTCTCGAACATGTTAGAGAAGGTAAATAGAAAAATAGGCATACAGTTTCTCATGCAAGACTTGTCACCTTTCTTTAATAAGTTTTTTTTTGCTGAGATTTTAAAATAATTAGAGAAAATAAGTTTATATGGAATTATTACAAATGTGATTTAGTGACTGAAAATGTTTGGACCTTTTGAATTTTACTTTTTATTTCAACCTCTGTGGTCTGAATAATTTTAATTCCATGGAGATTATTTGGGAATTAATTTTTTAATGTAATTGCATTTTCTTTTCCTTCTTCATACATTTTTAAATTATCAGTAATTGTCAAAAAAGAAAGTATTAAATGCATCATCAATTTTACAACAACAACCACCTTTGCTTTTTCAGCATTTGTAAGAAGAGAGGGTATCCATTCAGGCAGATGTATTTCTGTTCTCTGTTTTTACTGTCCCTTGTTTTTTATTTTATTGTTTGATTTTCATCTATGTCTGCTATAATAATGCTTCTTTAGTCCTTTGTATCCTGCCTTAGGTTTTTGTGGTTTCCCTCAGTCCTCCAGTCAGATGCTAGGTAGTACATCCAGTAGGCTGTGGCCATTTCCTTACAAATCCTTTTCACTTTGTCATTCACTAATCATTGTATCAGTTGATATTATATAGCCCAGGTAAAATAAACTACAAAAAGATCTTTCTTTGGTCTAGGCACTCATATTTAATTTAAAATAATATTTAGAAAATTCTCAGAAGTTATGAACTTATTGTTGATATTATTTTTATAAATATATTCTCAGGTCTTGCTTTTTTTAATGACAGCTTAAATTCTGTGACTGTTTCATTATTTATTTGCTTGGTTTTATGGTGTGATGGTAATCTGTTATTTGCAGGAGCAATATTATCAATTACAGGAGACTGGCCATCATGGTTTGATGGTCCATTTACAGTGATAGATAAAGATGATCCTCTTGTAGTGCTTTCTGCAAAAATATTATCAACTGTAGAGTTCAAGCCATCCATTCTTCAAGAAAAATATAGTATATATATCAATTTATATGTTGACATAATGACCATAATTCCATTCTTCTGTTATTATCAATAAAGTAGGTGGACAACTTGTCACCAGAATGCAGAGCAGGATCATTACATGAAGATACCTAATAGATCTGTGGGAACATCCCACATTATCACGCATTTCAGGTCAGGTCAGGTCAGGTCATGTTACAACTGACGGTCAGTCAGTCTGTCGGTCTTGGTGTCGAGCCCCAGCTGGGGCTCATGACCAGATATTTCTTTTCAATGAAAGTTACTGTCCTGTCTATGTGTAGCGCCCTCTCTGACGAGAGGTCGGGTCTGTCATCTGTCAGTCAGTCTGTATTAAGTCTATTGTCTGTATTTACATACATTTACAAATACACACTTAATCCTTACTTCTATGTACAATATATACACAGCCTCTGTCAGTCCAGGCTAGGTACAGCGGATTATGCCCTTTCATATATATACATATATATCCTAGTAGTATTAGCTACCACGGCAGTCTAGTCACTTGAACGGTCGTATGCCTGACCGCCGCCAAGTTTAAGCCTCTTATACTTTCTGTGTCGGGCTTCGCCTTGTCCGATGTTGCGAACATTCTCATTATCATGATTTTGTATGACTTCTGCTTGTTGCC